CTGGAGGGAAGAGACCACATGGAAGACCTAGACGAAGATGGTAGAATAATTTTAAAAGTAACCTTAGGAAAATATGAAGTTATGTGACGTGGACTGTATTAATCTGGCGGACTCTTGTGAGTACAGTAATGAAACTATGTGCTGCTTAAAATCGGGGAGAGAGGGTTTACGATTATATTCAGAAAACATAAAGTCGGCTCCTTGTGATTATTATGCCATTAAAGAGTATTCTTGATAATAATCACGGATTGGACTGATACAGAGTAATATCCAAAGGTAAGCATTATTATCCAGTGGGGTAATTTATGGTTCGCGCGCCCCGTTCTTCATTTCTATTCGACCGTGGTGTCCTCTGTTTCGCTTTCGAACTACGCAGACTGCCTCCTTCGTCGCAACTTCCGCGTGTATTTTTTCCGAAACGTAATAACTAATCATTATTGGAAAGCGGCTGATGAAAATCCAACTCAAGTACAAGTTTATTGCCGGCCGTCACCACTCTTCTGTCGGAGGACTCGCGGAGGACTCTTATTGAAATGAAATTGATTTTGTGCAATGTAACATCAGCTAACACCCCCACAGACTTGCTACCGTCCAGTCCTAAACAAAAGCACACCACGCATTCACCCCACGAAACCTGTTATTTATCCCTGATTCATATCACACGCACATACAGACAGAATTACTTTCACTTTAAGATAATTTATCCTTTGTCCTTGTAATCCTGGGGTCTCGGGTTCGATTCCCTGCGGTGCCCGAATTTATAACTTGTGTTGGGCAAGGCCGTGGTTTAGGCAACACGGAGTTTTCCTCCGTTGCATCCCAACAATTACTCCATTCACCCCCAGAAGAAGGCAATGGCAAACCACTTTTGGATCATCTGCCAAGAACGTATATGAACAGGTCCCAGTCCGAGAAAAGGATGGAAGGATCCTGTTCATATGGACCTGTCGTCAGACAGAACACTAAATAAATAAAACTGGACTCGTACTCATGGGGGTCATTAGATTGAATTTTGATTAATTAACTTTTTGTTCAGCTGTCATGTTCTTATTTTACATCACACAAAGACCTACTAGCCTATTGCAAGCGGCGTCACTGTCAATCCCACCTCAAAAGTTTGTTCGTCCGGCTGCCGGAAATTAAAAAGCACGATTTTAATGTAAACTCCAATGGCATAACGTCCATACCAAGTTTCATCCAAATCCATCCAGCTGTTCTCAATTTGAATAATGCGGACGGACAGACAAACATGATCACAAACTGCGTTCACGTCATGTTCATCGTGTAAAAACAAAAAGATTATGTGATGAAGATAATGGTTTTATGGTTTATGACCACGTGTAGCCCTGTGGATGGTTGATATTTCGGAGAAACGTTTCTTCGAAAACACCTGTAACCACTTACAAGAACACGCGAGATCACATTTCCACCGCCCTGAAAACCTCATTCCATCCTTAATACGGTATGTCCACACTTCGAATATTTTACATGAAAAGAAAGTTGTCGGATTAAGAAAAGGTAATATTTGTCAGCTAGTTTAGGGATGACAGGATACAAATGAACTACAATAAATTCTGCTTAGGAGAAAGGCGAACTGAGATAATTGAATAGATAATGCCATATGTAAACCACGGATAACTGATAATGATTATGTAAAGTGGACAAGGTTTGACCTGATAATGGCCCAATGTCGTCTTTGCTGTAACGGCGATAAATTTCCGGGTTCATGAACAACACGAAAATTCTTCGACAAATGAACAAGTAGTGACGAACGCTGTTTATTGTAGAGTTAAACAGTGGCTCAGTCATGCCGCATTGGTTAACAAATCCTACGCTGATGTTTTTTTAGTGTTCTGTCTGACGACAGGTCCATATGAACAGGATCCTTCCATCCTTTTCTCGGACTGGGACCTGTTCATATACGTTCTTGGCAGATGATCCAGAAGTGGTTTGCCATTGCCTTCTTCTGTGTGTGAATGGAGTAATTGTTGGGATGCCACGGAGGAAAACTCCGTGTTGCCTAGACCACGGCCTTGCCCAACACAAGTTAGAAATTCGGGCACCGCCGGGAATCGAACCCGAGACCCCAGGATTACACGGCCAGCGTTCTAACCGCTAGACCACCGTGGCAGAATTGCGTATATTATATATAATCTCTGGAAACAGAGTTCAACTGAATATGATAGTGAGTCAGTTTAATCTTTTTAAAATTCTTGAAACCACATTTTAAAACTCATATTCTCAGTTTTTGTTTTCCACGTCGCCGTTTTGCGAGAGTTTACTCCACATTAAAATTCTGTACGCATTTGTTGTGTCTCCGGTCCGATGTACATGTTCAGTCCATCGTAGGTGGTGTCCTGACATGACAGTAATATGCAAATTATCTGTGCTGAATCGATCCGTGACACGTCGAAACAGTTTTTAGAGTCGATTTCTGCATTCATGCATAACATTTTCTAATAATTGTGTGCGGATAATTCGTATCTTCTTACAGCAACACGCAACCGGTCTTACGTAATTAATGAAGTGTCCTTCTGTTTCCTGCTATCATGTCTCTTGCCGTTGCGTGTCTGTCGTCTGCAACTAGTGTTATTACACAACACTTCTGTTCTATTTTATATATTTTACCGTCGCTTATAAGTGGTAAATTCTGGTGTCGAACCCCAGGCGCTGAATCGGCTGTCCTCCAATGGCCTGCCTTCGTCTTCACCACAAGCGGAAGACTGTAGAATACCTTAGGAAGTTCCAGACCGTTTCCTCACAAATCTCTTCCTTTCATAGTAATGAGACGGCAGAGCGACTATCAGCTTCTCAAGAAGTTATTAAGGCTTTGACCGGGATGTTCTTTTGTTAAATCTTATGTGGTACCGCCTGATTCGACTTCTAATGGTTAAGTGAAGTGTTTTCTTCGCGGTACGGTCTGGATTCGTAAATAATATTCAGACGATCTTCGGCTTCAAAGGGTTAATGGGACGAGTACGTGTGAGTCATTTCACCTGCCACCTCGGCCTGGGGGCGATCGTGTCGCTGAGTCTTGTCCCTTTTAGTAAAGCCACCGAAACGTCTCTTTGCTGAACCTCAGAGTATCAGAGTAACTGCTTGAGCTGACGTTGACGATGCTTTTAGATAGAGTAGTAGCCTCCAATGTGAAAGTTACGTGACGTCATCGGAATGCAAGCTGTTCTGTCGCTGATCGCCTTAAGTATGTATGCATTTGTCATTATTTCTCCCCTACTTGTATGATCGGCCATGGCTGGGTTCAGGTCGTCAGGTACATCAAATTGTCAGTTCCCACTGGTTTCTGTGGTCTTAGTGTACACGGTCGTCTGTTTGAAGGGCGGGTGTCTGAGAATATTTGAACCCAAGAGAGTGCTGCGTCGCGCATGGGAGAAGATGCATACCTGGTACAGGGTTATTCATAATTCCCTGACACATTACAAAATGTCGATAGACTTGAATGGTGCAAAGGATGATAACATGCGACATGCCGACAGAAAGAGAAACTCTCCAAGTTTATTTTACACACCTCATAAATGATCTATGACCAACATTCTATAGTTCCGAGCGTGTTTCATAGATGCCACACGGTGTTGCCAACCTTTGCTAAATTCATGTTGAGATTGATATGAAGTGAATTTTTTTTTAAATTTTCAGCGAGCTTTTAATTATTAATTTATATTCGATATGCAAATTCCTCCTACGTCACTTGTCGATAAGTACAGCAATGAAGACTTTCTAATTGGTGGTTCAAACACAAGGATGATCACAGGTCGAGCCTGTGAAACGTGTTATTTTCCATTGATCCTGTGGCTACTTTGTCCACATGTCATTTCGAAATCAATAGCTTACAACTCATGTCAAATGAACACGTGACGCATGCGCCAGAGAAATATTTATGTTTAGTTAATTTGTTTTTGAAATATTTTTCATTATTATTTAGTTATTATCGTATGTATTATAAGTGTTTGCCTGTTATTGGCTTCTTACTGTTGGCAAACACTTAAATAAATTAATTGAATTATATAAATGCTGATATCTTTACAAATAATTTATTCCGATTACTGACATATGCCACTCTTTTCCTGATTCAGTAATCAATGTGTAACCTCTTTTCTGTTCAGACTCTTTGGGGTTTAATTCTTAACATTTGCCTTCTGTTTCACGCGTTACCTGAAATTTGTGTCGGTTTTGTTTTATTGTGTGTTTTATGATATATCTTTTCTGTTCACCGCCTGACTGCTTTGAGTTTTGCAAAAAATGAATGTAGTTGATTCTAATCATAATATTCAATCATAAAGATCGGCCTCGTCATTTACCCTTAATTAATTAACAGAATGTAGAGAAAATTTGCTTACGCATTAGTGTTGTTTGAATCTGGATTTAAAAGATTCTCAAAATAATATTCAGTTCAGATTTATAGACAGAGAGGTACTGGAGAGGGTGGCTTATAGGTAGACTGACTATTTCTTCCTTTTCCATACTCTGAATTAATCAACGCTTAATAACAGAGGCTGATAAAAAACATTCGTTGGATTACCAGAGAGTTGATTTCGTGTTGTCCAGCACAAACCGAAGTATCCCTCAGTTATAAATATTAATAAGTGTAAGCCGATACATACCTTAGCATACAAAGCTACGCGAGCTATGGCATCTTCTGTCACGTGGAGACACCTACCTGCTGACACACAAAACCGTTTACGACCTTACAACATAATGGAGTTAACACACCTGAAACTGTGGGCTAGCGCACACGAGCAGATTTTAAACTGCATTAATGGATCGCAGTTTCAGTACTGTTCGCTACTGTAATCTTGAGACTTGCAAGGAATATAGAAGTCCGAAGCGTTAAAGGCTCTCGCTATCTTTCGTCCTTAACCCCACTTTCTTGCCCCCTCAAGTCTGAAGATTACAGTCGCGAAGAGTAGGAAGCGAGCGCATGCGCGGTGGTTTTACCTCCTGGGTTTTTCTGCCGAGTCATGCTTCATTTTCGATGCGGTGCTGCTGCCGCACAGCGGCTGACGGTGTCATTAGAACACAAAGAACGCTGTCTGTGTGCGCGAGCGAACGGTGAAACAGCCGCACGGCCGACCAGTGTTTGCCCGACCTTGGAATCGATCGAACGCGTAATGGAACTGAACACCACAGTTTTTGATAGTGAGAGATTGATTTCCGAAGTGGAGAAGAGGCCGGCACTGTACAATAAGGTCATGCCAGAGTACAGTGACAAGAACTATAAAGAAAAACAATGGAAAGAAGTCTGTGAAGCAGTGTTGCCAAATTGGTGCCACCTAGACAAGAAAGAACGAGTGACTGCAGGTAAGGAGAAACGTAAATTATTTTCGTTTTAACTTTATTTATATATTCTGTGTATATTTTTTACACTCAGATCAAGTTAAATGATAAAATACAAGATACAGTTTAATTTAACTGCATTATAATAGGATGTACGTCCGTCAATTTAACCTGCAAACGTGTTTTCTGTAATAACAATAGAAGCTGTGTTAAACCTTTTCGTATTGCTAAGGAACAGAGCTTGTGGGGAAGTATTTTGCGTAATATTCTCTCACATTCAAATAGACTGAACCATCTCAGAGGGGCATTCACACATCGTATCCTCAAGATGAATTCCGTCTCTCTTGCGGACGAAATTGTTTAGTATACAACAAGTTTTAATTATAATATCGCAAAAATCAAGACGAACGTCAATGACACGTTGGAAAATTCTCCATTTTTTTTGCACAGTATTTCAAAATGCACATCCCACCATTTTCATTGCCCTCGATAATCTGTAATTAAATATACGTTTGAGAAGACCCAAATTTTCCGATAGAGAAAATTCCTCATCTCCTACAATGGCAAATGGCATCGTTAGGTAACTGCCTGGAATCTGGAATATTTAATGTATTTTCTTCCAACATTTTACATAAATTTGTGTTTTTAAATATATTAGAGTCACTAGATGTACCGTAAGCTCCCACATCTATGCTAATGAAGCAGTAATCTGCGTCCACTAAAGCCATAAGGAAAATAGAAAAGAAGTTTTTGTAATTGAAAAATAAAGACCTGCTATCACCAAGCAGATATTCTTAATGTAATGGATGGAAGCTATTTCCAGTTGCAAGGTACCTGTAAGCAGATAAGAATATCAGTCAATATCATATAACTAGAGCAGAGCGCTCCTTTCGGATGCTCCTCGGGGGGGTTGGTTGCGTTTTAAAATTTTGAGTAAGAAACTAAACCAACCCCCCCAAATTTTAAAATCTTGAGTAAGAAACTAAACCAACCCCCCCGAATGGGGGGTTAAAACACTTGACCAAATTTTAAAATTTTGTGCAAGAAACTAAATCAACCCCCCCCCCCCGAATGGGGGGTTAAAACACTTGACCAAATTTTAAAATTTTGAATAAAAAACTAAACTAACCCCCCTTCGGGGGGTTAGTTTAGTGTCTTACTCAAGTCATTTGTTTACTCGGCATTGTTGTGTTGGTACAACACAACAATGCCGAGTAAACAAATATAACGTAACATTGTTTGATGACGTCATTTTTTGATAGACGACAAGTCACGAATTTTTATAGTAAAAAATGTCATACTTTCAGGCAATGTCATACAACGGAAATGGAGAAATATTCGTGATAATTTCCGAAAAGGAATTCAAGTACAAAAGAAGTCAACAGGACAAGGGGCCAGAAAAAGGAGAAAATATGTTTATTTTGACCAGTTGTTGTTCCTTCTGCCAACACTTCAAGAACGAAGCTCATCTGGGAATGAGAATGAGACCGAGGAAGATATAAACACAGGACGTCAGGTCAGAGGAGTCACAAATGCGAACGAAACAAACGAGAGACGACAGAGTAAACGTTCCAAAATTACGTATGAAGAATCTTTACTACAAATAATCAAAGAGAGAAACAGAGATGATATTGATGAGGACAAATCTTTCTTACTCTCTCTGGTACCATCATTTAAGAAACTCAGTGATGAACAAAAGTACATAGCGAAAGTGGAGTTTTTAAATGTTTTGAGGAGGGTAACGTTGCCTCAACCCCAGTATCCTTTCAGCACTCGACGCCTTTCGAACAGTTATTTTCCACCAAATTTTCCACCTTCTAATCCTCCCGGAATAAACCAGAGTTTTTCGCCAAAGTTCAAACCTCAGCACACCGAATCCCTCCGCAGTCCTGAGCAGTCTACGTCCACCAGTAGTAGCACTCTACTTCCCCAGATGTCACCCTCTGATAGCAATACCATGTCACCATTATCTGATACCGAACTACACTGAATATTGTGATTGTAATTCCCTAAACTACATAACAGGAAAGAAAAAGTATGTTTAAAGTCTACAATTAAATGTAAGATTGTTATAAAATGTAATAAAGAAAATTAAATATATAACTATCGTAGAGTTACTGACAAATCTTCCTTCTGCCTGCACAAACCTCCTCATTACAGTATTTTGGTAGGTAATAGATGGTCCAATCGTGAACAGTAACTCGTCGAAATTGCTGCTAATCATTCGAAAGTATCCGAAGAATTTCTTTGGATACATACGCAGATTTTCGGCTAGTCAATAAATATGTTAACTGTTCTCACATAAGCCTGACATATTTGCTCTTACGAGACTGATCTATTTGCAATCTGTCTTGACTGTCGGTCCATTAATACACGCTTCTTCTAGTGCTCAAATACCAGTAATCCTTGAATGGATTATGTAAATAATTTCTAAGCACGTCTGAGGTTGTTTTGACGTTTGATGAACAATACAAATATGTCGGATGCCAAGTTTGTAAGACGTTATTTCGAACAATTTTTTTTTCGAGAGAGAGGAAGCTACGAAAATCCCCGAGAAAATCTAGTCGGTGTGATTTTTTTTGACGTAAATACGTGTATGAGGAAGGGTCATTCGGCAAAAATGTGTTACGAAAAGGGGTGCTCTAGCGGTTAGAACGCTGGCCTTGTAATCCTGGGGTCTCGGGTTCGATTCCCGGCGGTGCCCGAATTTATAACTTGTGTTGGGCAAGGCCGTGGTCTAGGTAACACGGAGTTTTCCTCCGTGGCATCCCACCAATTACTCCATTCACACACAGACGAAGGCAATGGCAAACCACTTCTGGATCATCTGCCAAGAACGTATATGAACAGGTCCCAGTCCGAGAAAAGGATGGAAGGATCCTGTTCATATGGACCTGTCGTCAGACAGAGCACTAATAATAATAATAACATTACCTTACCTTACATTTCATTACATTACATTACATTCAGCTACCACAGACCCATCTTAAGCGTAACTAATTCAAGTTGAATAAGCAAAGTCTTAATCAAACTTATCTCAATTGTAAAGCATGTATAAAGGAAATATTTAGAATAAAGCCAATATATAAACTTCCTTTCCGTATAGACGTATTTACGTCAAATTCTCCGGAACCGTGGTTCCACCATCACTTTTTTTCCTGAGCACAAAAGTGTCTCGAGCATCTCCGAATAACTTTTTCTTTGCGAAAAGAGAGTGTACCGAGAAAAACCAAAACATTCCGTTCCAAATTTGGCTGCTGTCTAACGTTTAGCCTGTGCTGCTAGATCAGACACCAGATCGTAGCAGTTTTATTAATATATTAATAGTCTATTTAACGACGCCATTTGTAACGTGGAATGACAGGACGATTAACGAAATATTTGTTGGAATGGAAGTGATGTTTCGGAATCTGGTGGAGAGGCTAAGGAAAATTACTAAAAATTTTCGATCGCGATATTCGTATTCCGGGTCACATCTGAGCCCAGAAATTATCGAATGCCAAGGTGATTAGACACCAATGAAGTAATTAAGTGATGGGTGTGGTCCAGGGTACGTGCATACGTTGTGGATCTGCAGTGGGATTCCCATCCGACAGCCTCTTTAACGACGAAGTGACTGAAAGTCGACCCGAAGTCCTTGAGTGTTCGTTTCGAAACTTAAGACCATGAATTGCTTTGAAACTGGTTATGAGGACGTGTGTTTTGGCCATGGTTTTAATTTGCTTGTCGATAATTAAATGTTATTTATGCCACCTGTTTCTTATATCACCGCGTTCCCTACTGGCAGAGCTCCAGCAGAACCTCTTCATATTTCAGGTTCATATCCCGGCTTTAATCTTTCTTAAGAATCGCCTTCCATATTTATCAGTCTATGATTTTTTTGTATAAAAGATTAGGGAAATTCTCTTGTTGAATCGGAAAAGGGCTTCCGGGATTCGATTCTGTAGCTACATTAACCGAAGACGTGTGTTTCTTCAGGAGTTCCTCATTTCAGTCACCAATTTTGAACAATTTAAATGTCTCCTCTTTTCCCCTACGCACAACCGGTTGGGACTTTCCGATAATCGATTTATCTCGTTCGTACGTACGAACGTATCTCTGTCCCTGTTCGCACCGCAATCTGATAATCACAAAAAAAGTTTTTACATCCAGACTTTGCATATTTTACTGAATCTATCTGTTATTCACCGTGAAGATGGAAACAGAAGTATTTGCCGATACGTGTTTAAATATGATCTCTCATTAACAGTCATATTTTGTAAGGTCTTGTGAACAGATTGGTCTTAGCACAGGAAATAACACTCGCGAATTGTGAGGTATTTCCCACGTTCTAATATCTGATCTTCATGAAAAGTTCCAGTAACCTTGGAATTGAGTAATTTTGAAAGAAAAATTAGAATCGGAGATTCTGATTTGCGAGTGAAACTTTTTTGCCGTAAGTTTTCATACAGCCAAATGTGTTAGATGAGTCACCTAACACTGTTGTGGTGACGTACATACAATTCATCAGATAAGACGAGACATCAAACAGACTTTTGGTGGTAAACTTCTCGAAAAGCGACCACCCAACCTAACCAAACCTAACCTAACCCAACCTAACCTAACCTAACCTAACCTAACCTAACCTAACCCAACCTAACCCAACCTAACCTAACCTAACCTAACCTAACCTAACCTAACCTATCCTAACCTAACCTAACCTAACCTAACCTAACCTAACCTAACCTAACCTAACCGTGTGTGATATGGGAGGCAAATGACACGTAGCCCATGTGAACTGGGTTATGTGAGCTTCGAATCATGTGCCTGCGGACTTTGGTAGCAAGTAGTTGGTTAGTTGTCGTCGAGGTTTAAAACGATAAGGATTTTAGATGGACGGCCGAGGTTTGAATCTCTAAAGGGGCATTGGGCCGTCTCAGTGGCCGCGTGGTCAATGGGACCGTGGGTTCGAATCCCACTCAAGGCATGGATATTAGTCCGCGTTTTTCTGAGTTGTACTGTCCTCTAGAGCAGTGGTATTCAACCTGGGGTACGCGAAGACATCTTGGGGGGGTTCGTAAAATTTAAAAAACTAGAGCAGAGTAAGAAACTAAACCAACCCCCCCGAACAACACAACAATGTCGAGTAAACAAATATAACGTAACATTGTTGATGACGTCATTTTTTGATAGACGACAAGTCACGAATTTTTATAGTAAGGTATATTATTTTATGATAAGCTATGAATAATCAGTAATGTAATTTATTTAATTTATTTTAGATGTAGATTATATACTATGTATAACTTGAATTATACACCAACAACTTTGGGGGTACAAAGTTGAAGAGAAATTATATCTGGGGGTACGCGGAGACATCTTAGGGGGTACGTGAAATTTAAAAAATATATTATTTTATGATAAACACTGAATAATCAGTGATGTAATTTATTTAATTTATTTTAGATGTAGATTATATACTACGTATAACTTGAATTATACACCAACAACTTTGGGGGGTACAAAGTTGAAGAGAAATTATATCTGGGGGTACGCGAACAAAAAAGGTTGAATTCCACTGATCTAGGGGCCTTGCGACAGGCTGATTACTAGTCCAAGGAGCCCTACCAACTGGCAGCGGGTTGATGTTTTCTCCGCGGCTGATATATTTCCCCCTCCCGCCCCTCAATCGCTTCATCCTTGACGTCGTGTACCTGTTCCGTGGCTCTAGCAGTCTAGCTGCAGTCAGTCGCAGGCTGCTTGCCGTGAGCTCCGGTCTTTAATCCTGTCTCTCTGCGATGTGCTATGTAGTGTCGTGTGTGGCCAAGTGTTGACCCGCGTCCAGAAGCCTTCAAGATGCATCACAGACAGAAACTTTGTGACAAGCTGAAGAGTAACTTCCTCAGGAAGTGGTGTAAGTCTCGTATTGGATTTTCTGTTATTAATATTTTAGGCGCTTATCGTGCGACTCAAAAGTTTATGGATTAACAACATCTTCAGTTTCTTTCGTTTCGGGTTTTTTACGATGACATTTCAGATTCGAATCGTTATCGTTTATTTCGTTCTTTACGCCTGTAATTAATGTCTTTCGTGCTCTGTAAGAAGGGCCTAAGGCAATACACGTTAATTTTGGCTTAGGCCATTGTTACCGAGCGCTAAGGATGTATTTGTGTGTCTGAACACCTGTGGCGTTGTGGCAAAGCGTCTTTATCGATGTGTTTGTGGTTGTTTATCTTTTTAAGAGGTTACATGTTGGTATGGAAGACATAAGTCCTTCACCGCCAATATAAAAGTCCGCCATTTAACACTACCTTAAGACATCGCTAACCATTTTAAACATTTAAACCTACAGTCTACTTCTCTGACATTAGTGTTGCTATTTAACTCTCACCTCTACTTACTACATGCAAGGCTTGCAATCAAAAATTAATTACGATATCGTCATTATCATTTTATTGATATAGTGAGTGAGGAATTACTACTTGCTTGGTTGAGTAGTTACCAAAGGCCTCCCATCGCAACATGGAACGTCTTGTGCGCATGCGTCCTTGTAAGTTCCACAGTCATGGTGAACGTAATCATGGCTCTCAGGCAGACGGTACACAGTTCGATGCAGTGTGACCTCGCACGCGGTTACAGGTTGAAATAATAATCCGCGAATCGTCACGTGAAACTTTATACATTTAAATACAGAATTAAATGTTAAAGAGCCCACAGACAAACAAACAAATTGTAATGAGGGAATATTAATTCTGGAGCAAAGAGGTTTGTATGTTCTATGACGTTTTATACGACGTAACATCTCGAAGTTTCTGGATATGCACACTCTCTGCTTAAAAATTTTAAGTTTTTGGCTGGAATTCTACAGCCATTCTTCCCGTACGCTACACCGCATATACAGGGTGTCCCAAAATGTATACACATTAAATGAATGAAATAAAGACCTTTTTTTATAAACTGTCGTTACATGCGCCAGCATAGGCACTTAGTTAATTAGATAATGTTGTGTTTGTGTTTAAAATGGCCACCGGACATGTCTCCCTTAAACACAACGCACGGAGATCGATAATAAGATTAATATTCCGTGTCTTGGTGAATATTTTTGGGACGCCCTGTATTTGACATCACTGTGTTTAGGGAAAGGGCCAGGGCGTTGACCGGGCACTGAACAAGGCAACGGGTCGCGGCCCTGATCCGTCCTAGATCTACTGCAACTTATTAAAGTTACGTAACTTCGTAAGGTGAGGCGTTTGTGAAAAATGTCGCAAGATGTCCTTCGTTGGCCTGTAAGTTGAATGACGAATTGGACGTTCCTGAATTTCGACCGTCTGTAGAATATTTTATTGTGCGGTGCGTGAGTTTTCAACCAACTTTGATAATTAGACCACTGTCATTTTTGTAAGTATGAATTCTGTGGGTTTTAAGTTGAACGAAGTCTCCAGAGAGTAAAGTATTACTAGAAAGCGGGAACGGCAAACATTACTTAGTGATTTTTAAATTTGAGTTTCTTTTAAAATTAATTGAAATATTGCCAGCAGGGGTCACGCCACGGACACTTGTCTGATCGCTCCTCATTGGTGCATCCGCTGTTTTCCAATGCATCAGAAATTCTGTCTTCAGAAATTTTTCTCGTGTACTTTTCCTGGGACTTTTCGTTTGTTTCTTTCGTACGTTATTCTGACCTTTTCGTTGTGTACTTAAGGTTATTTCCAGTGTTCTGTTTTGTGTGGTGAACCTGGTGATTCACACACAAATTTTCCGATTCTGGATTCCTGTCTGCGTACCACTGGATTTCCCAGGCCGAAGGAAACTTATCCGAGGTACTCCGGACTCTTTTTCACGGTTGCAAGGCGTTTCTCGGCGTCTTCGATTGGTCCTCTTTCGCAACAGATCACGTGCTTGTGATTCTCTGGCATTATCTTCTGCGAGAGATTGAGATGTTTAGAAGTCGTCGTCGTTATCGAACACGAGGATAGGACGGAGAGATCCTAGCGTTTCCGAAACTTTGTCTTTTATTGTTAGGTGTTATCAGCCATGAGAAATCCATCATCCTTTTGCTGCCAGATCGTGGTCCTTGAAGGTTTGTCATCCACAAGACCGTCGTTATGGGATTAACGACTATGCTAGGAAGTGGACGACCGGGCTTCAATTCCTAGCAGAGGAGTTCTTCCTTCTTAGTAATGTCCATGCCTGTGTTATATCACCCAGTGCCCTGTTCCTTGGCGTTAAAGCGACCTGGGCTTGAAGCTAACCACTTACCATCTGGTGCCGAGATTAAGAAAGCGTGGAACTGTACCTCCAGTTAACCATAACTCTGCACGGCGTGTCTTACCTGACGATAACTAAGAGGCAAGCTACGACTAACCTAGTTCTCTAGAGTTGGAACCGATTCAACAGAATGCAGTACGACAGTGTCGGGTATGTCCCACTTCTGGGTTCTGAGGCGAGACACACATATGTAAGAAGATTCTGGTTTGGGTACTGATTTTAAAGACCTTTGGAGGTGTTTCAGATTGGGAAATGGTCTCAGTTAACTGTTAGCTTTGCAGCCCTTGTTCCTCGACTTGGTACTTTCAAATATTATTTATATCATAGCCAGTGACCACTGCTTATTACTGAATTGTTATTTATTTTTCTCCGAATTTCATGCGGCTGGAAGATTAACCCAACGAAGACTTTTCGTAGATTATTGATTCGCTTTGTAAAATTTTCGAAAATCTAAAATCGAACGTCTCCTTCTTCTGTTCTGGTGGTCCGTGGTTTTATCTCGGTATAAATAAATACGAGTAGTATTTTAAATAGACCACGAACTGAAGATGACCGTCTCTGGGTTGTAGCGCCGTGCGATACGGTGGAAGTTTACCGACGTTTCAGAGGTCCTTCCTGCCTCCATCATCAGGGCGATGAGTCTTATGGTAAACATATACAAGACTTGACGGTGCTGGATCACAGAATAACTATCTTCTGACTCACCGCCGTGGAAACCTTAAATCCTGCTACAGACCACGATGGCTTCTTTCGGAATTATTTTCGGGAATTCGTCTTTCACTTATGTCCCCAGTTTACGAGGTGTATTTCAGATGCGCTTTGTAGTTCGGTAGAAATTGAATTTCAGCATTCGACATTTGGCATCCCTGACTGAGTTTGCCGTTCCTTTATTGTGGACAGGAATCTCTTGTTGACTGAACTAATCAGTAATACAAATTGGGGCTACCATCCTGTTTGAAAGCATGAGTAACTATTTGCTAGCATTTTTATTTTTGCACAGATCACACAGCCGTTTTGAAAAGCAAATATTTCAGAGTTACTGACATTACAAAGATTAATATTCATTCATGCTACATTTCTAAATTCTAATGTTTATACACGTATGACACGTTTAGTACAGTTTTAATCTGAAGTACGCGTGGAACAGGGAATGAACTTGATATTTGGTGACGCTGGACGCATTTTGTGAGTCGTTTAATTCGTCGTTTCTTTTGCTGAAAATGCCTTCAACCGTTAAGGAAATTCACTTTACCAGGGAAATGTTTGCTTGCGTAGGTGGTAAAAGAAATTGGAACACAGTGACGGTATGGATTTCGATATTACGTTTGAGAACATCTGAACGGAGCGTGGGTCTGCAAGAAATGAGACAGAAAGCGAGAAGGAGGAGAGAAAGAGTGGATAAGGTCGGTAAACATTTTGTAGTCGTGGCTGCTGGACTGTAACCGATACCACAACCGAAGAGCGGCCTCTAACGGTTTGCAGTAGAAAGTTGTGACTTTGCGCAAAGAAGTCACGGTGCAACACGTGAAAGCGTTCGGCGACGACCAAGTTCTCAATAACTCTGACCTGTGGGAGGGTCAGTATCACACGAAGTCCGAGATTCTGCGAGACTACCAGCTTCTCGTCAGTATCACACGTAGTCCGAGATTCTGCGAGACTACCAGCTTCTCGTCAGTATCACACGTAGTCCGAGATTCTGCGAGACTACCAGCTTCTCGTCAGTATCACACGTAGTCCGAGATTCTGCGAGACTACCAACCTCTCGTCAGTATCACACGAAGTCCGAGATTCTGCGAGACTACCAGCCTCTCGTCACAATTACACGAAGTCCGAGATTCTGCGAGACTACCAGCCTCTCGTCAGTATTACACGAAGTCCGAAATTCTGCGAGATTACCAGCTTTTCGTCAGTATCACACGAAGTCCGAGATTCTGCGAGACTACCAGCCTCTCGTCAGTATTACACGAAGTCCGAAATTCTGCGAGATTACCAGCTTTTCGTCAGTATCACACGAAGTCCGAGATTCTGCGAGACTACCAGCCGATTTATGATAGGAAGAAGTAAAATGAGAAGATCAAGAGGTAGATGGGAATAGAAGAGCGAAGAAAATTAAACGAACGAATCTGATATTAAGCAAAGAGCGAAAGGAATAGAGAAAATGGAAAATAACTAGTGGAATTAAAATAAAATTAGATGATGATTGTAGTTTAATTCCATGTGAAGAGAATTTGGATGAAGCCGTTTTAAATTATTTAATAGGCCTGTAACGTGTGAATAATACGCGAAAATTATATTAGATCTTAAAATTCTTCAACATACGAGGATTTTGTATTGTTTACACTGCAGACAGCGATGTTAAACATTTCAGTAGAACCGTAAAAAACGCGGTCTGTTGGCGAAAACGATTTTATGTAGTTCCAGATGTAATGAGGCACGCAGAATTCCAAGCAACACATTTGGAAAATATATATGTCTACATCACATTTCTTGTCTTGCTAGAAAATCAGAAAATTTCTGTTTCATCCCTACAAGAAATGCTGGCAGAATTTTTTTTTAGGTTTTGTCAATGACACGTTCTTCGTGCACCTATTTACGCTATAACGACTTATCCGCCATCTAATGACACGTTCTTCGTGCACCTATTTA